TCTTTGGTTACACCTTTAATTGGATCCAAAATGCAAGCGCTTGCCATCAGTGTTTAATAATAAACCTTTTCCTGCCAATTCACAAACCTGGAGCTTATGTCTATTCCAGGTAAATGGGTGTAATTACAATTTTAAATTGTAAGAAGAGCCATACATCTTTGCTTCATCCTTAGATAACTGYTTTTATTCCATGGTTTCCATGTGCACAGAAAGTCATTTTGTATAATTTTGCCCAAATCATTCTCATTTGTAGTTCTGAATGTGCTTGAACTGAAAGTCGGTGCTTAAATAACAAATCATGACATTCATGAATTGAAAAATGAAGTAAAATATAAAAATGACAGCAATTGGAAATAGCCCAATTTGATTAAGAGCAATAGCCTTTCTAATGGCTTTGTGTTTAGCTAGCAAAAAGAAAAATGCATACTGGAACTTGAGTTATTTAAAAAACAATAATCACCAAATTATGCTCTCAGCTCTGTTTACGGAGTGCCAGATTYTTGTTCAGAAACTAGTGCTCAATGACTGCAAAACAGATTTAGTGAAAAATACCTGATTGGAGAAAGCAGGAAAGGATTTCAAACGGTCTGTATCCCTTCTGTGGTCACCAGGCATAGCTGGAGCGATAGTTCCTTTCCAGAAGAGATAATATCAGCTCTAACACTTCAAAGATTGCTTTCTTCTAGATTGATTTGGACTTGAGTATAGTTAGAAACTCTGGTAGAATCACCCCATGTTTTGGTCTTGGCAAACAGAAAGTACTGACTGAAAAACAAGTCCTTACCTTAAAAGGTATTTAATTTTAAACCATTGGCCCTGTGAAATGCCACGTTCAAGTACCTATTCATCTGCAGCCTCTGCTGGAAGAGTTCAGCTCTTCAAGCATGTGAGCTGGAGGCTCATGTGAGCGTAAGGGACAGTGCAAGCTTTCTGCTCCTCAGCTGGCGTCCAGTTATTTTGCCTCAAAATGAGTCTAATCCAGATTAGTTTTTTCAAGGCTTTAGGAATATGTTTTATATTCTCTTTTGTTTTTCCTCTTTTCTCCATATGTAAAATTTTTAGAGGGATTTTTTTCCTCTCTGCTCATCTTTCTTGATGAAACAAAGTAGTGATGATAACCAGTGATTTTTTTTTCCAGCTGATGATAGTCCTTTCATGATCCCTTTCTTGTCACCTGTGCTTCTTTCTTAGTTTTGCACGGCTTCCTCTGTACTGTTCAGCATTGGGCTCTCTTCCATCTGCAGTGGGGACTGTGGCTCCCACATATCAGTACTCTAGGTGTCCATCTTGTGTTCCTAAAAAATGCCTCATCTGTAGCTCCTGGGCTACCAAAGAAACCCAGACTTGGTGTCACTTCTTTGGCTTCAGCCTGCAATCTCAAGCTAGAAGCTCAGCATTGTGCAAGAGTGTGTAAGGACTTCTGTGACTGGGAAGGGGAAATCTAAGGAAATTCCTCCTGAGAAGAAAAGATGTCAATGTCAGAGAAGTTCCCATGAAAACAAAGTTTCAAGAAGTCTGCTCTGGACAGAGGTTCCTGTCCCATGATCTTGGAGGAGACCCTCCACCTTTTCCTGATCTCTTTAGAGATCAGCAGCCACAGCTGGATCCCAGTGAATCTCAGCCCAGCCTTGTGTCCTGGTGTGAATCCTCGATTGTGGAAGATACATTCCTGAAAGACCCAGAGGCTGAAGAGCAAACATAAAGCCGACGATATCCCTGTTGTCAYGTTCACTGCCTAGTCTGAGTTCTGCAACCCTGTGCTTCAACAGCCAAGCAATAGCATCCTTTAGTGACTTCTTGACACCCCGTGACATCTCTTGGTAAGAACTTGCCACTTTAACCATCTTTGTGGCATGGAAGAGTCACTCTTTGTGTCTGGAAGAGTGGTATATTATCTCATATTTAAAGAAATAAATGAAGAGCAGCTCTTGCACACCAAGAGGGCTTGAAGCTCAAGGTGGTAGATATTTCTGTATCAGAAGGGAGGAAGGGAAACCAAGTTCTATTCGTGACCATCACATTTAGGGTGACATCCTTATAGTTTTGTGAGTCAAAAAAGGGGAGACAAAATCTCATCCCATCTAAATAAGGGATATGTGGAACAGATATGTTGACCCTAGGGCACATGGAGTAAACAGTACATCCTGTCTCTAAACAGAGTGGAGCAGTTGGCTTAGCGTATCCTGGCCCAGGTAACTTGTGTGATTTTTATTTATTTTTTTAAGGAATGTGTCTCTTTCTGATCAGAGAGATATTACTCTCTGTTGATCTATACTCTATATTATTGATTTGGATTTTTCTTTTGGACATAGAAATGTGTGTGTGAAGAGGCACTCAAAAGCAAACAGTAGAAGTATTGCTAAATAAAATTTACTAAGAAACATAAAATGTAAACGTGTTAATTGTAAATATAAAATGTACAAGTTTATTGGTAGATCAGAGTAAGAGAACTGTTGTCCATATGCACGTTTTGCATCATGCCCTTTCCTGAAAAGTCCACATGTTTTCTGATTAAAGGGAAACTGAGAGAGAAAAAGAGCCCAAACACCAACTTTCATATTTTGGGAGCCAGATGGAAAGAAAGGGAGTCTGTATACTGCAAGTGCCTCTTTTTAAAATAATAAAATGTGAGCTTGAGTACACTGTGTACATTGAGTACCCTGTGTAAATTGAGAGGTAAGCAACTGTTTTCCAGAGGCAGGGAAGCAGAGTCCTACTGAGGCCTGTGGTGCTCATGTTAACAGGAGCTCCTGGCTTTTCAGCTTGTCTTTTAAAGGCAATACTAAATACACAAAGAAATAGTGTTGGGAATTCTCATTTGCAGCTCCTCGGTGCATTCATGTCTCTGGTGAGTCCTTCAACACACGTAGTTTTGAGCARCAGTATTCACAGGGGACAGGGATTTGTTCTTCTCAAGTGAGAATTTGTAGGGAGGGTAGGGAAGGTAGGGAAATTCTATGATCTATCTGTATATTCTTTGTGGTAGAAGGGCTGGGCTTTGTTCCAGGAAAACCTTTGAGGATCTCTGTTCCCCAAATCACTGTTCTTCCAACAGTCGTAGCCACTCCATCGTGGGCCCCTGTCTGCCTTCTCTTCTGCATCCTTTGGCCATGGAGACTGTTGGGATGGTCTTGAAGGTGCCCTGCTTCCATTCCTCCTTCAGCTTCCCCAGGAACGTGCTCCAAGAGATGTTTTCCAGAATGTAGGTGGAATAGGTCCCTGCTGGTAAGGTGCTGCTGAATGGCGAGTGAAGACTACAGTGGCCCTGGGTTTGGGGACAGTAGAAAATCCCCAGGAGTGCGAGGTAGTCACACAGCTCTGCCCCTAGACTTCTTGCCTCTGCCAGGATAGCACTGTTGTGTTGACTTTGGGGCCAGGTCTAAAATGAAATTTTGCTAGGAGCTTCCTTCCCTGCCGTTCTGAATTTAGATGTCTGGTCCCAGCCTCTTCTCTGCTCCTAGAGAAGAGTTTAGRAAAAAGTCTGTTTGCTCATTCAGGGAGATCTCACTGGATGCTCCTTGCTTTTGCAAGTCATTAGCCTAAGGTAGTACCTGCTCTTCCAAGTCACACTTGCCTTCCTTTCAGTTGCTTTGTACTGCCAGTGCAGAAGAGCAGTGTAGTTCTGGTTACTTCTTGCAAATACAGTTGTTTACCATAATAGCAGGGCCCTCCTTTTCCAACGCCGTGTTTCTTAGACACCTGATTTAGTTTTTCAAGCTGTTAGATCTGCATGCCGTGGCAAAACACAACCACCCAAAAGTACTGCAGGAGAAAGGTCTTTAGGACTGAGCTTAGTGTGGCTCTTCTGTACTGTAGCAGAGTTAAAATCAGAAACCACAATGGCTCAGATTTTTCCAGAAAGTCTTAGAAGAGCWTAAAGATTCATATGAGTGGCCTCAAGAAGGGGATGAATTAGAATTTCCTTCTTTATTCTTTTTTTT